TTTTTTTTTTTGGGGGGGGGAGTTATTTAATATTCCATATTGCAAGCCAAATTAGCCCAAACTCATTCCAAATTCAAGAGTCGGTCCACAACCATACGTGGCCCAACTACCAGCAAGCATGCAAAGAACCGTGTCTGCCGACATCCTTATACCAACACGGCTGCAACCCCTGACCTTACCATTTACACTCCCCTCCTCCACCTTTTGTCTTCCTAATTTCTAGCCATCAGGTAGAGGCGATGTTATAATTACTGGTTCACAGACTGCCTCTGTTTTACCTGGGAGATCTCACCTGCCGCAGTCTCCCCTGCTTACCTTTGGTAACGGGTGTAGGTTGTAGCCGTGTTGGTCTAAGGACATTGGCAGACCAGCTTCTTTGGGTAAATCTGATATATTTTATTAGACCAACTGAATTAGTTGGAAAAATTGTTCTTTGCAAATTTCCGGGTATAAACACTCTTCGCCAGGCTGAGGAAGCATCTGCAGTTGGTGTGTGCTCTTCCTGGACATTGTAGAAAATCTTTGGTGGTCTCTTTATATATCTGTTGTACAATATTAGGGAAGATGTTTGGATTGTTCTTATTTAAGTTGTTGTAGTATGTGGTGATTTCCTTCTGCTGATCTCTTTTGCAGTAGATTAGGTGAAGAAGATAGTTTCTAATTTTCTCTGCAGTTTGCTTACCTTTGGCATTATTTCTCCCTCCTCTACCCATTATTTTCCTAATTTCCACCTATTTACATTCTCACTGACCTCCTGTCACACTTTTAGCTACTTTCATTGCTTGGAGATCTCAGAGCAGCTATGCCTGAAGAAGGCTGCTTGGGCCCAAAAGCTTGCAAAGAGCTACTCAGTTGGTCTAATAGAAGATACCACATCTACCCAAACAACCTTGTCTGCCTGTGTGCTTAGACCAACACGGCTACAACCAACAACCCTGCAAAAATGGATCAACACACTTGAATGGATTCTAGGGTTACTATACATCCAGATTTTTCTGGACCTGTCCTCTTTTTTGGGCCCCTGTCCTTGTGTCTGGGCAGGTTTTTAAAGGAGAAAAATGTGGGAAACTGGGTTGCAGCCTGCCAGGGGCTGCTTCCTGTCCACCACCCCCTGTCCCATGCCGCACATACACGCCCTGTCCCACACACTGGGATTTCAGTTTTCATAATGACTTCAGTGTTGTTTGTTGTATTGTTATTGTTAAAGAAAGTTATATTGTAGTTGTTATACACTGTTATATGTATATTGTATATATGTATGTATAATGGTGCGGATGTTTATGTAACACACTGAGGGGCAGGGGGCACAGACTGGGGGTGGGGGGCAGCGGGTCAGGAGTGAGGGCACTAGGTCAGGATTGGCCACCGATGTTAACAAACGGGTCCTGATACAAAAAATTGAGAACCACTGATCCAGAAGAACCAGAGAAGGTGCAGAGAAGGGCAACAAGGACAAGGAGTGCTACAGAGGGGCTCCCACGTGAGGAGGGACCAGAGAGGCCAGGCCTCCTCAGTTTAGAAGAGAGACACTTGGGGGGGCACGAGAAGGATTTACAAAATGGTCAATGGGAAAAAGAAAGTCAATAGGGATTTCTTATGGGCTTTCTGTCACACGAGAAGAAAGGGTCACAAAATGAAACTAGTAGGTAGCAAGTTTAAAAGGAACAAAAGGTGTAGGAGCCAAAGGGCAGTGTAGGGCACAAGTGACCCTGGCCTTAGTCAAAGTCATTTACGTGCCAGTGAAGCGCACGTAAGTGACCCTGGCCTCAGTTAAGTCACTTATGTTGGCTGAACTTTTGAACTGTGACCCATGTGTTTAAGTTGTGCCCATGCTCATCTGGAGCTGTGTATATGATGGGAAATACCCCGAGATTAAAATCGCCTGCACTTCAGAGAGATGGCCTGGTGCTGGGTGCACCTGCGCATGTCGTGTGGAAGGGATTTGAGTGCCGTGTGCCTGGATGCAGGATCAGCCGTGCGAGGGGCTGAGGGGTGACAATGTGTAAGTGATATAAAAGGGGCTGATTTGAGGATTGGTTGGTCCCTGCCTGAATGAATGAGGGCGAAAGGAACAGATCGGAGGAGAGGTCTATCCCTGCTTGGGCGTGCGAGTATGCGAGCTGCAGTTGTGTTCGGTTGTGTGTAGTCTACTGCAATTCGGAGTGAGCCTGCAGTGGGGCAGGTGACTGGTGGCTGAGTGAGGGCAGGTGTACTGCCAACACTTTGGGCTTTGTGTGTGTAAAAGGTGAGAGCCAGGGTGGCTAGTATCCCTCTCTTTGGCTGTGGGTGGAGCTGAGCGCTGCAGTAAGGGCATGTGAGTTGCTGTTGCAGCATGAGCAAGCCGCTGATGAGAGTTTGTATTGCTCTTAGCACCGCCTAGCCTGGGTACTGTTTTGTCACTTAGCATTTGCACTGTTGGATTGGGATTCATCATTGATTAGTATTGTCACTGCTGTGTATATTTTGACTTTGTTCTTCCATAATATAGTTGTTTATGACTCCTCCATTTGAATTGTTTGCTCGTTATTTGCTATTTAATCTGCAGAGTGCCAGGTACTGCCAGGCGGTAGGTGAGAGCAGGCTGCCCACAACCTTCATTAATATCCCTGTAGACTGATGAATTGAAAGCCAACTAGGACTGTTAACTGGTGCTTAACAGTTGGTGCCCCTGGGTAGGCAGCATCTCATTTGAATAATTTGCAAAATTAATTGGTCTGATTTTATTTTGGTTATTTGAGACCCGAGAATGGGTCTTTTGTGTTTGATGGTTGTCATATTTGATTAATTTAATTAATTTTGCTGTGTATAGTTAAGGTGTTACCAATATACTAACATACTCATCTGTGTTTTGTCTTAGCCAGATCCAAAGAGGGGTCTGGGTCGGTGGGTGATTGGCCGGTGAGTCACTGATATTTTTGTTTTGAACCTGAGGAGGGGTATGGACACCACAGAAGCCCAGGAAAAGCTTGTATACAAGATCCTGGGAAAAACCTCAGTTATCCTGCTGGGACAAAAGATGGTTAAAAACCATATACGGTCCTGATTCAGAGGAGTTTGGAAAATTCAAAGATTTTGAAAAGGGAAGGACAGAACCCTTTGGAAACACTGAAGGCACCGTTTAACCTTTGGAGGAAAGGAAAACCAGTGACTTGTGAGGAGATTCAGGTAGAGGATGAATCTATAGCTGGAATGATTGTTGAGGCAGCCGCTGAGATCACTGTTGCCAGAAAAAAGAGAAGGGCACCCTCTCCCCCTAAAGAGGGAGAGAAGGTGGTTGTGACAGATAGGTATGTGTGTGACTGCAGCAATCGCTCACAAGTTGAATCCACAGGGTCAGCTGAGCTGGACGTTGCAGCAGCATCAGCTGATGAAGCATCACTCCTGTGGTGTTGTAGGACCAAGACAGAAATGGCTTTGTTTGTGCTTGGAGATTGAATCAGTCTCAGAGATGGCAGTGACTCTGTGGTCAGCCATCCTGCTTGAGGAAACGGAGGCAGAATCAGCCTCAGAAGCAGCAGTGACTCTATCGTTGGCGATCCTGGTTGGGGAATTGCAGGCGGAAACGGCCTCGGAGATGCCAGGAGATGCCAATTGTACTTCTTCATCGTGGGGGTTTGATGCCAAGTTGAGGTCAGAGGTGGAATCAGCCTCAGGGGCATCCAAGGGAGCCTATACTAGCTCAAATTCAGAACAGGAATTGGCCTCATCAGGTGCAACGTCATTGATAGCGGGAGGTCGGGAGCAAATCGGCTCCAGGAAATTCTTCCCAGCGAGGGCCAAGGACTCTACGCTGATCGGTTCCAGGGAACTCCTACCAGCAAGGGTCAAGGACTCTATCCTGATTTGCCTGCTCCAACTCATGGAATTTGTAGTTGTGATTTGTGGGACAAAGACTGGGGAAAGTAGCATGGGTTTATAATAGGGCCAGGAATCCTTGGAACGCTGATCTGAGAGTCCAGAAAGCCCATGCCAGTGACTTCTGTGGGATTTCAGTTTTCATAACAGTTTCAGTGTTGTTTGTGGTATTGTTATGTAGTGATATAGATGTATGCATATTGTTATGGTTAAAGTATGTTATAACAGTGTAGAACAACTACAATATTGTATATATGTAGGTCTAATGGTGTGGATGTTTTATGCAACATTTTAGCAAAAGTAGACCCCTGCATGAGTGTGAAGATGCAGGAGTGGTTATCAGTGTTTATTACGTCGTTCATTTTAGTAGGGGTAGTTTCTTTGCTTAAGTTCAGAACAGTCCAGTGCAACACTGCCCAGTGCATCACTGGCACTGCCACGCCAGGCAGCATCTGCAACAGGAGACTGACTGTGTCTATAGGTACTGTGACTTGGTTGTGTGATGGACA